GTTATTGATAGAACATTCTTCATGGATTCGCTGTTTTAAGTGGCCTGCTTATAGTCAAGACAAAAAATGTGTCCTTTGCTAGGTTGCTGATATACTACTGCATGGATGTCGTACGGACAATACTAATCTACATAGTATATACTTGACATCCATAAATTTGAAGATCAAATTCCGACATGATGAACAATAAATAATACAAGATACGCTAACAAACACAACATTTCATTTTGGCAACTCAAACTTATGGTGTACCAATTTAAAGCACATGCACTCTTTTTGCAATTGCTATTGTTTATGTTGTCCACCAATTTCTACAAACATTAACAAAGTTCCATCCTCTTATCTATATATCGGTTATAAATTCAAGGCTGTTTGCCATCAAACATCAAGAATGTTAATAGAATGTTGTTGCACAACTAACAATCAAGAAAGCGTAATGTATGCATGCTTTGTATTCACAAAGAAGTTGGAAAAATATAATTCAATTTGTCTCTGTGCCTAACCAAATGAATAGTTACGTAAAAGCGTATTAACAACCCATACAAAAATTTTAAGTTTTTCTAACACTTCTGACATTAAATTTTTTCGCACACAATCAATATCAAAAGTGCTAGCCCGTGCAGGTGCACGGGTTCATGAATAGTTACCTTACTAAAGAAAGTACATCCCATGAATGCTTGTGGAATAATTACATAATCTATTTGGCCCGATAGATACAAGCCTCGAAGCTTCTCCATGGATCGAGAAAACGAGATTATCTTCAGCCCTCTGGGGTTGCGCTCGATGTAGTTTGTATATATACTCCCACTTCCAAAAGGTTCATCCACCAAACTAAAATTCAAACACAAATATCTCAACTACATGGAATGATATGTGTCATCGCACAAAAGGGCCGACCTGTGAACTCCTAGCAGAGAAAAACCACCATAATGCGCAATGGAACCGATTATACTTTACTTGGCTGAGCAAAGATGACTGTGGTGACTCATGGAACATAAACTCTAGGAAGAGGTCAAATGGAGAAATAAAGGACGCACAATAACAGAGCGAGGACAAGCAAGACTATGGAAAACACATTATACTATGATCAAAGAGCTTGCTGTTGAGCTACACAAAATTCTCATTACATAGCATGTGTCTATTTTGTGAGTTCTCTTACCGACACTAAACCACAAAGATCTTCCCTACTCCTAAAGGGGCACAATGTAGGTCATTCGTTAGTTTGTTACTAGATGTTTTTTTAGGGAAGGCCATCATGGCTAGCTTTATTACGAATTAAAACGGGATTACATCATCGAGGAGTTTGGGTACTACACAATCTGGAGGATCGTTAGCCCAACTCCTACTAAGCTTATTACAATAACAATAATTTTCTAGCACATGCGCTACTTGGTTCGTTTCACGACCACAATGCCTGAATTTAACCTTCCCAATCATCGATGCCATTTCCACACACTCGGCGAAGAGAACTGCAGCAACATCCCACCATCTGTTTTGGCCTGAGCATTGTTCAATCACCGTTGTAGAATCTGATTCAGCTTCAACTCTAGGAAAGCCCAAGGAATTTTCCAATACAAGTCCATCCCTCATCGCTTGAGCTTCAGAGGATACCACGTCCACAGCGTGTGGTAAAAAGGTGCATTGAGCTGCCAAGAACTTCCCCTTCTCATCTCCGATTACTGCAGCTGTTGCCCCTGCCCTCTCATTCTCAAGGAATGTTGCATCAACGTTCACCTTGACAAACTTCGGTTCTGGTTTTGTCCATCTCTGTATCTGGTTGTCTCGGGGTTTATGATTTGCTTCCTGGAAATTTTTAGCAATTGCCATTACTGATATAGACCATCTGGAGATTAGTGGAGGTGAGCCATTATGTGTGATCTCACGATGGATCCACCAGAGATACCATCCTCCCACTGCAATGACTTGTTTGACATATAAGCCAGGCTTAAGAGCAAGCGAGCGATCATCCATCAACAGCAAATTTTCCAGGACCACCGATCCTGATCGCTGCCCCTCCATAGCTTGTTCAACAATTTCTAATATTCCCAAACTTCTCCATAATTCCTTCGCATGCATGCAGCTGAACAGAAGATGTTTAATATCTTCAGCCCCTCCATGGCATATTGGGCACCCGCTTTAACTTCCAACATGGCGATTTGCGAGAATGGATTTTAGGGGGATAATTACATGCGATGCCCGCCAACAAAAGATAGAAACTTTACGTGGGATCTTGAGTTTCTAAAGTTTCCTCCAAATCTCCGGAGTTTGAGAGCCCGCTGGACGCCCTGTCCTATTTGCATGTGCCCTAAAAGATCGCTCCATTGCACTTTGTACGCTGATCGAACAGTGAAAATGCCGTTACGTTCAGGATGCCATGCAATGAAATCATCTAAGGAATTAGTGTTGACTGGAATCAGTAATATCCTTTGAACATCCACCGGATTAAAGGTAGATCTGATGATATCCTCATCCCATGTTCCTGTATAAGGATCCAGTAGCTTCCTAACTGAGGTTAGGATAGATTGGCCCCGACTTGAGATTACCTTTCGGTATGGACTTGCAGGTATCCACGGATCCTGCCAAATGTTGACACTCTCTCCAGTATCAATGCGCCAGATATATCCCAACTTGAAAGTCTCCAGTCCCTTCATCACACTCTGCCATGTGAATGAAGCACCGTTTTTAAGTGTTGCATGAAGTAAATCAACATTTGGGTAGTATTTTGCCTTTAACACTCGAGCACAAAGGGACTCAGGGTTAGTAATCAGGCGCCAACACTGTTTTGAGAGCATTGCCAGGTTAAAAGAGTACAAATCCCTGAATCCCATACCACCTTCAATTTTGGGGTAGCACATTTTCCAGCACGTATACCAATGCATTCTTTTATGATCCTCATCATCTCCCCACCAGAACTCCGCAATCATATCTGTAATCTCCTTGCAGATCCCTTTCGGAATACAGAATACTGACATTGCAAACACTGGAATTGCTTGGGCAACAGCTTGAATGGGGAGTTTGTTACTAGATGTTCGTTAATAAAGTTTCCAGTAATACATTCCTTGTGCTCAGATGGGTGAACTATTATACATTTCACTCAAGAGTCTCTGTCAAACTAACAACTCGTGGCCGACCTGCTTGTTGCATGCCGGTAAGAGAACCCTGTATGTCACAGCTACACCTGTGAAGCCATCTTGATATTCTTCTCCTCCAACTCTATCTTATCCTCCTTGTCACCATTACGAGCGTTACTACTGCAGCATCCTTGTTTAACGTCAGACGCTGCTGATGCAGGAGCTAGTCTAGGCGGCAGTGGCGGTGGTGACTGTTGATGCTCCTTGCTCTTCCCCAAGAGCACCCTGTACAGCCCGGCGACCAGCAGCGCCCCGCCAAGGACGCTGCCGAGGTGAACGACCTCACCGAGGAAGAAGGAGGAGCAGAACATGGTGAGCACGAGCCCTACCGGATTAGTCATGGCCAGAAACACGGGGCCTCGCCTCTCGATGCACCATGCCTGCAGGTAGAAGGACACCCCCGTCACCACGAACCCGGAGTAGGCCACGGCGACGAGCCCCACATCCAGCCGTAGCCTCCACGCGACGGACATGTCCTTCCCGAAAGCGGTCACAGCAGCCGCCAGGGCGAGGGACTGTGGCGTGCTGAGCAGGCATTGCAGTGTCGCGGCCAGCAACTTATTGGGGTACTCCGTGAGGAGGCGCGCTTGGAGGACGATCCAGAGCGACCACGTCAGGTTGGCCAGGAGCATCAGGAACGTGCCTTCCATCCAATCCCCTTGCTTCCCGCCGGCCATGGCGGCGGCGAAGGCGCGGTGGTGGTTGAGGGGGTTGAGCGGCGGGCCGGCGTAGAGGGCGATGACGAGGACCCCGGCGACACAGAGCGCGACGCCGGCGAGCTTTGCTGCGCCCGAGGCGGTGCGGAGCTTGATGGCTTCATAATATAGGAGGACGGCGAAGAGGAAGGTGAAGACGGGGATGGAGTTGCTCGTGGCTGAAGCCACCGTCGCGGAGGTGTACTTGAGGCTCATGTTGTGCAGGTTCATGCTCACCGTGTTCCTGCGTACGTGTGCAATACTTGTTACTGTTGCAAGTACGCATGTATATATGATCACTTCCTCGATCAATTTAAGCAAAAGCAAACGACGAATCCGCAGGCAATGTTAATGGTGTCGTGCTCTTACTCTTATCCGAGTAAAGCATACATGAATATCTTGGTGAACAACCACAGTGACATGGGTGGAGCGTTTCTCCTGCAAAATCGTTGACATTCATAGATATTAAGGGGGATGACCTAATTTTAGGTGGTGAATTACATCCAGATCAAGTAACTAAGTAACTAAATAGTTAGTGAATTACCTTTCAAGGAGGATGGCGAGGGGTAGCAAGAGAAGACTGGCGGCTGCCTGGCGGTAGAAGATGAAGACAAAGGTATTCATGCCGCCGTCGAAGGCCGCCTTGGAGACGACGTACATGCCGGTGTAGATCACCCGTATCACCATTGCAACAATGTACACCTTCTTCCCTGCATTCGTCGACATGCCTAGCTTCTCCTCCCGATCGACTGATCGACGAGTATTCACTTTTCACTGAGTACGCCTTATATAACCAAAGCTCAACCGGGAATGCATATATGCTCATGTTTAAACTAAGTACTCCTATTCATCTATAGATGCTCATGTTTAAACTAAGTGCTCCCTTCCTCTATAGTGCGCATACATTCTAGTTCCAATACCAATGCATGACATGGATGTTGTAGTATGGACGAAAGCAGCCTCGCTGCAGCAGCCTGTCCTACGCACTATGGAGAGGAGATTCTAAACCAGGGTCAGTTTCGTCCAAACATGCATGTGGCTGCAAATGCGCACTGCAATTTGGAATCTCAGCCAAAAAAATACACGCACTACAATTCTGAATGGAGGGAGTATTAGGTAGTAGCTTTTTCTCCTTATCTTTTTGTGACAAAGTTAGCCTTTTCTCTCTTTTTCTCTTTGTGACAACTAGCAAAGTGACCCGCTCGATGCGCGGGCAAGATTTTGTGAAGTTCGATAGTGAGAACATATTATTTTATTTTTCTACCAAAATTTGAACCAAATGTGATGTAATTTACAAATATAAGACCTCTAGAAACATGGTTTTCTCTTAGCTAGAAACATGGTTTTATCTTTAAGTGGCCCCCACAATGCGAGGGCACCTTCTTTAGTCTGTCACAAGTTCTTGGAATAAAAATTATGTTTGCATATATATACTTATTTAATTATATGTGGCAGGAATAATAAAGTTCTATGGCCATCACAAATTTATGCTAAATGGAATGTCACATGGGCGAGATACATCTTTAATTCATGTGTGCAAGCTGAACTTTTTTAGAATATTTAATTTTGGTTTGTTATTATAGATCATTAACATTAGGGTTTGTTAAAATTATGCAAGTCAATGAATTTTCATTAAAAATCGGTACTCATTCTATGCTCTATCCATCAATAAAAATATTCGTGGGTCTAGCTTTTTTTCATGGTCTCATCTATATATTTTTGTATATTTAAGTGGAGAGATACAATTTTACCTTTGAACATCAGGATCGCTCCTTCACGACATGGAATATTTTGTTCGAGGGAGCTATCTTTGTAGCCCCTCTCACACTTGTTGTGCATAAACTACTCATCTTGGATCAGTTCTCTCCTGTAGCCGTGGTCCTTTACGACTTATGGCACTTGTACATTAAAGTGTAGCCCCTTTTTACGCTTGATGAAAGATATTGAACAGTCCTCCCTCCTTTGAAAAAGGGACATCTTGAGGTTGAAGTGATTTTCTTATAACAAAACGAATAAAAACATTTGAAAAATATCAAAAGTCATTTGTTTACCTACCAGACCTTCATTAAATGACCTAGCTACATACTACTTTAACTGTTTAACACAAAGGAAGTGTATTTGTAATAAGGTGGATTAATCTACAGCTATATTGCCAGCCAAGAATATTAAAAGAGTGAGGTCAATTTATATTAGAATCTAATAATGTAATTGGCCCAACCTATACTTTGACACTTTATGCAGCAATGTTTCTCACACATCACAGTACACATG